TATATATATATATATATATATACACACTTATAGCATCATGTAGATCCAGCTATTGGTGTCTATATTATAGATCGATATACTTATTATGCATTAAACTTCTTGGAAAAAGTTGAACCATTTAGTACTAAAACACTGAGTGAATTTGTAAGTATTTTTCATATTAATATTAGATTCAAATCTGTTATATTAATTGTACTCTATAATATTGATTTTTCTAGTTAAAAGTATGTCCAAGAGATTATTGCTTATCTACAGTAGGTGTAAGAAAAGATTTATTTAGAAGAGATCCCGATAAAGTGCCAGTAACAGATTTCTTTGGATCACTTAGGCCAGTAGAACTTACAACAAGTTTAATCAATGTTTTATCCATTCATCAGAATTATACAAAATTGCAGGAAGTAGAAAGAAAATATAGTTACATTGTGCAATTTCCTCATGTGTATAATATATAACAATAAAATAAACTGCGTTTTACCATAATAATATTATAATATTTCCTGATAGCCACCTGTCTGTGTTTTTGCTGTCATGTTGCCGAAAACAAAACGCTTGAGTTTTCAGCAAATTTAAAACAAGGTGAGTCAGGTATTTGTCTTTGGTTTGACATGACACGTATTCAACATGTGTTGCCGACAACTTGCTGCGTATTTGCTGTCAACGGTTTATCACTAACATAAAGAGCAACATGACAACAAGTTGCCAACAACACGTGTCACAAATTTCAGCAAAAATACAATATGTCGAAAACGGATAAATATATATTCACTGACACACATCGCTTTGTGAAAGGGAAATTAATTCAAAATTTTACTCAAATTAATCACACATTGTAGATCTGATTTAGTTCGCCGATCAACTGATTAACTCAATGAAAGATACCGGACCCGGAAAAAATCCTAAGGTAATGGGTGGGATGTGAACTCGAGACTTCATACAGTAGAACCTCCCAAAACGTATATACCTCCCAAAACGTATACAAATCCACTCTCAAAACGTATATTTTTTTCTTCATCGCTTTTCCCACCATTAAGTATGGTTACAATCAAAACTGCGCTTGCGCATTAGGCTATGCACATGTAACACACGTGAACTTTTCTGTTATAATATAACCTCTCGATTCCCATATGGTTTAGTACGTTTCAGTAGGTATGTATTAAATATCGCACTTACTTTTATATGATTTTATATGTGTATATAATTCCAAGTACTTATTCTATATAATTAGATAAAATGGCAAAAAACAAAGAAGGTTATTAGAAGGTAATTAACATTATTAGAACGAGCACAAATAATCGAGAAGCTTGAAGCAGGAGAGAAAGAAAAAAATGTAGCAAAAGAATACGGAGTTACACAGACGACAATTTCACGAATAAAAAGGAATAAAAAGAATATTATTTCTAGTACACGAACTATTGTTGAACAGCACGGTAGTTTGTCCAAGAAAAAAATAACAGAAATCGAGGATTCTGCGCTTGACAAAGGACTGTACCGATGGTTTCTCCAGATAAGATCGCTTGGAAATCCAGTATCAGGACCAGTTCTACAAGAAAAAGCTGATATTCAACAATTTAATCAATGGACGAAAAAATTTCCATGCAAGCAACGGATGGCTTCACAAGTGGAAAAAACGACATCAAATTCGTCATTTAACTATTGCCAGAGAACGGTTGTCTGCTGATGAAGAAGCCAGTGCACATTTTTCTACAGGCTTCTGTAAATTTATTAGAGATCATCATTATAGTCGAGATCAGATATACAATGCTGATGAGACCGGTTTGATGTGGAAATCATTGCCTTCAAAAACTCTAGTAGCCAACTACGAAAAGAAAGCTCCTGGGCGAAAAGTTCTTAAAGACCGAGTGACAATAATGATCTGTTCAAATGCTAGCGGAACACATAAAATTTCGTTGCTAGTCATCGGTAAAGTAAAGAAACCACGATGTTTTAAAAATATGAAAGTTTTGCCAGTAGTATATAAAGCACAACGTAGTGGTTGGATGGATAGAATTATCTTCAAAGAGTGGTACACTGACGTTTTTATTCCAGAAATAATAAAAAAACACGGACAAAATGCAAGATGCGTTCTATTATTGGATAACGCATTATCGCATCCGCCAGCTGAAGAACTGAATTTAATCAGTGATTTGTGTTTAGTGACATACTTACCACCAAACGTCACTGCAATTAGTCAGCCTATGGATCAAGGGATCATTGAGAAAGTAAAAAAAAATATACAAACGTCAAGTTCTTGAAAATATTCTGTTGTTCAATGACACTGAGAGAATTTCAGACCTTTTTAAAACCTGGAACATGATCAAATGCTGCAATACTATTGCATATGCATGGGATACTGTTACTTCACCCAGCAAACAATTTGGTTGCGAGATGTCGCAGTTTTGTCGCCAACCGCCGGCGAAATTAGTAGACCAAATCCATATCCATCTGTGTCCTCATTAGGATATGATTTGGCGACCATATCTGTCAAACATGTGAGATGTCAAAATAAGACCAAAATCATAACAAGTCTGCCATTAGCAAAGCAAAGCCAAAGTGACGCACCAAATCCAGAACAGATTTGGTGATCGTTTGTTGGCGCCAAAATCGCGCCAAATACACATCATATCTGTTAC